TTATTTCTTTCGAATTTTTGTTTTCACAGATTTTTTATTTTTTATTTGTTTTTACGTATTTTTCTATTGGATTATGTAGTACATGTTAGAATGCAATCAAATTAATCCTGCGAGGTAATCCTAAACGTTGAAAAAATAATCAAATTCTGAAATAATATTAATATGATCAATATGATGAACTTATTCTTTTTGTTTATCGGTGATTGTTCGAAACAAGGAAATAAAAATCTAAAAATAATTCAAAAAATTAAATCATAAAAAAAATATTTTATACTTCCCTTACTGTAAACTTTGCTTGAAACATTTCTCATATCATTAAAAATAAAAATATTTACATGTTCCTAAATGAGACATTCTATTATATGTAACGTTGGTAACAAATTTTACTTAAAATTTTCAGAGTATTATGGTTTTCCATGTTTTAATCAGGCATTAAACTTATTTAGATAATACTTTATTATATTCGCTAAACATTATTTTTATACATGGATAAAAAAGAGGCAGCAATGGTAATTGTGGTAATTTAAATTCCATATTATCATAAGCAAGTCCAACATTTTCTTCTTCTGGAATAAAAGGAATTTTTGAATAACGCTGACTGAAATGTGTTAATAAGATGAATTTTGCATTCATAGATTTTCCAGCTTTTATTGCTTGAGATGTCGTTGAATGTAACTTGCTGAGTGCTAATTGTTCAAGACCATTCTCCATAGTCGCTTCGTGAATTAATAAATCACAATTTTGTCCCAAATCTATGAGACGTTGACAAAATATAGTATCACCACTGAAATAAATATGATTTTATGAAATTTTTAATACGTAATATTAATTAATTTCCTTAATCCGTAATAACAGACGTGTAGTCTGATAGGAATGGTAGGGACCATTAAAAATATTTTATGTTTTTCTCCAACATCTGTGATTAAGAATTAAGATTATGGATTTTATTTATTTTACCTATAAACGATTTTTTTATTATCTTCAAGAGTAATGGCAACGCCATATGATTGCTTACAGTGTAAGACATAAACCGTGCTTATGTCTTTGACATGTAACTTCTTCAATAACATCGATTTTAACATTAACGATATGTTATGATGTTGAAAGTATAGACTGTTATTGCTTACAGAAATATATTGCTCTTTGATGGAATTAAACTGATCATCACAAAATTCATACCAAGATGTTAAAATTTTTGGCGTTAGTAAGTACAACTTTTCATCTGTAACTTTTCTTCTTGTAGACAACAAACCAATGACTCCTAAATGGTGATCTGCATGCATATGTGATACATAAATAGCCTAAAAAAAAAGGTTAATAATAATAAAAATAATAGTAACGAGTAAAACTGAATGTTAATTCCTTTAATTCACATGCAGATATACCTTAATAGTACGTAAAATATTGAGACCTTCCGAAACTCCGTAAAACCTAATAATTTGACCAAGAGTACCTTCTCCACAATCCAATAAAATACTACAATCCTTATTAACACGTAAAAGAATACCACTTGTATTTCTAACTTTACTTGGTACACTACAACCAGTACCTAACATCACAATTCGTGGATAATCCAGAATAGTATTTAAATTATGTTCTGTTGATTTTTCTTTAACAACTGTCTTTAATTCTTTTAAAACAGTCGTAAAGTCAGGAAGTTGTAGAATATCATCAATATATATTTGAGTATTCTTGTAAATTTCTGCATTCTGTAAAGGTATTGGTATTGGACGTATCTTTATCATTTGTCCCGTTCTAGCACGATAGATGTTATCACTTAAAGTCTGCAATAAATTTTCTAATATTTAATCTAGTAAAATTAGTGATTTATTATTTCACAAGCTAAATAAACAAGTAACTAATTAGTAATTTTTAACTCTCAGAGAATCATGCCGGGATTATTTAATAAATTTAATAAATTTCTAGAATAGAATAGTACTAGAGAATACAATAGTACATGAAAAATGCGTTATATAACATTAATAAGCATAAATACAAATGTAACAATTACAATAAAATATATTCAAATATCACTATAATATATTATGTATATAATGTACATAATAAATACTTTTTACTTATCTTCTATTCTTGAAAAATTTTTAGAGTTAAAAATATTAGTTGTTATAAGCAAAAACAGTAATAAAATAAGTAATAAAGTAATTAAAAAGAGATATAATCCATTGACCCGCAATTTCAAGGATTGTTATTTTTTTTACATAGAAGGAGAGTCAAATAAAATGTTATCAATTACTTTCTTGAAAATATAGCAGCGACAAATTTTTTTTAAATTCAGTGATACTAAAGGACTGATCATATGGAAAATGATTTTTGAGATAAATAGTAGTGGGTCAAAAGACTCATTTTTTTTCAAGTTTTTTTTAAATTAATATTTATTTTAATTAATATGATATTCCATTTAAAAAAAACTTAGGATTTTAACCCTCTTCAACCCATTATTATTTACCTCTGAAACATCACTTATTTTCCATATGATTAACCCTTTGGTATCACTGAATTTAAAAAAAAAATTAGAGAAAGTCCTGAGAAAATAACTTGTAATACTTTGTTTGATTCACCCTATACTTACCTCTTTGTCTTTGTCAAAACGATCTTTATTTAATAAAGGAAATATTTCAGGATGTAACATATTTAATAAAGACTGGTTCTTGTAAACAGCTTCACTACCCATACAAGTATTTTCACTATTCACAATTATATGTTGTGTATTTGAAGAAAATTTTCTTAACCAATCTTGATATCGTTGATTAGTAAAAATTTGATCAGGAGTAAAATGAAATATGCAAAATACTTCATTTTCGTTTGCTTCTGTTTCTATTTGTTGATATTTCAAAAAGGCAGGATGACTTACTATGGAATCCAAATATTCATCTGTTGGACATTCTACAACTACAAAATTTTTAACAATAATAATTAAAATTTATAATAATAGAAAAAATCATAGTTTAATATATCAATTAAATATAATTATCCAAAGTTATGTTTATGTTTTAAAAAATACGTCTTAATTATATTTATAAATATAAACTATCAAAAGCTAAAGATGATGAGATAGTAATATGTATGAAATAATATTTAGTTATGTATAAGCATGATTATGTATGACTATATATTTTCAAAATTACCTATGAAAGTGGTTTTAGGAATATCTGGTAATACTACATCTTTACTATAAACAACAGATCCATCTGGTTTAGTAATATCCATTCCTTGCTTTAACTTATCTAAAAGTGGCCCAGGTGGTACACCATATTTTATACACTTGTCTATTAATAATTTTCCAGATCTTGGATGAACAGTACAAATATAACATATTACTTTTGGAATGCTTTTCATTTTCTTTTTTTCTTTAACTTTTTCCTTGTTTGTTTCTTCATTTATAACTCTCTTATCATTTTCATTTGTGTAATATTCTTCTTGATCTATCAGGTCTGAAGAAACTTTTTTTATATTTTTTGTAGATTTTGTTATAGAAGCATATGAAACTTTCATTCTACAATCATTGTACTCTACAGATTCATCAATTGTGATATAAGAAATTTTTAGTTTTGGTAAGATTACAAATGATTTAATTGCATCTATAAAGTCATGAACTTCTTCAGGACAATGAATATTTATTTCTGTTGCACCATTAGCTTGTGCAGTTAACAATAAACCTGGAATACCTCCAATATTTTCCCAGGAAAAATGTGTCACAAATATATTTTCTATTTTGGATAATTTACAGCCATGTTCTTGACTCAAGCGTTGAGTGCTTTCACCGCAATTAAATATATAATTACAATGATCAGTTAAAAAAAATATGCATGACGAGGTTCCAAGTGCTCCACTACCAAGCACCTGTTGTAAAATATTAATCATTGATGAAAGTATTATCAACACACATAAAGTTTAATAAATAATTAATTTTTATTTGTAAGTGATTCACATACCTTTAAATATGCATTAAAATGCTTGGATTCTTTTTTTTGTTGCATTACTGCTAAGTTTATCAAAGAAGATTCACTCAATAACCTGTTGTGCACTTTAATAATATGAATATTTTTAGTAATGAATTTAAACAAACATCTAAATTGAAACATTGTATATCATTACATTGTATGTATTGCCTACAGAAATAAAAAAATATTACATATTTACCATTTCATTAAAAGACATAAATTTCATGGGCTGTTCTTTACTATTGCACTTTTAATCTAACCTTATCTCAAAATTACACTTGTCAATAGTTCCAAGAGTATTTATATCGATAGGTTTTAAATATAATTATTAAAATAAAAATCTAATTATCCAATAAAAATACGTAAAAAACAAAAATGATGTTAACACGTGCTAACGAATGCACGTAGCATATACATAAACAGATATACGCATTTGCACTAATGGATATTTCTACTAGTTAAAAACTAATTTCATTGATGAATATTCTACAGCATTTCGATTTAAACAATTAATTTATGATACGTCGATAAATACTATGTAACTTTTTATGTGTTTGTATAACGAATCACACATATATACAACAATTGAGTGAGAAATAATCACATTGTCGGTAGAGGATTCACCTATTCATTTTTTTCATCTAGCATCTTCTTATACAAGATATTCCGTAACTGGTGTTACAATCGAGTAGGAGGTGATTTTATGTGAAAAATTGAGTCGAAAAAGAAAAATTTTTTTTTATTTTTAAAGCCTTCATTTTCGAAAAAAGTATTTGAATTTAAATCCGAGTAATTTTCCATATTTGAACTTACAATTAGTTAATTCCAAGTAATCGACATGAGAGTACTTCTAGGCGCAAAAATAAGTGAAAAGCATAGCTAACATATTCACCGCTGAGCAGTTTGTTTAAATCTTTCGCATTGAAAGGAAAAAGGTTTTATCAATTAACACAAAATTATAAGCATATATTAACAAAATTTTTTATCAATTTTTTACGATTATTTCGAAATCTGTTCATTTTCATAAATTTTTAATTTTCGGTTAATCCGAAATGACAATTTTATACTCACGATGCGAGTCGTAGATATCCGAACCGGAGAAAAAATTAAGGCTCCTTGTATGTCATGTCGGCTTTATATAAGGCCGACTGTCTGTGTTTTTTTCGACCGTGATTAGGAAGATCATTTTTGGCCTAAATGCACCATTGGGCCGGTCAGTCCCATAAAGTAATTCGCAATTACTTTATGGACCTAACGGTACTGCCCAGGGATGCGTCCCTCACATTACTTTTATACGTTTATTAGTATTGGTAGTAGTAGACCCAAGGCCAGCGGGACGCGTCCCCTACATAAATTTGGACCAAAAGTTCTGCTTCCCGAATGTATTACTTATTCTGTTTAACTTTTTTAAAATACTAGCATAATTTTGTATTAAAATTGTATTAAATTTGTCAATAAGACAAGTGAATAAAGATATGTAGTGAAGAATAAAGATATGTAGTCAATAAAAAAGAAATACATATTGTAATGAATTATATATTTTTATAATTTTCTATATACTTAATTATATATATTTCAATAGTACATTATACGTGTTATTATAATAATATAAATATTCTAATATTTTAAAATTTAATATGAAAGAATATCTGTCATTAAGAATCATATTTTCCTTTTAAAAATTTTGAAACGAGATAACAAATTAATTTATATACACAACAATAAAAATAAAATATAACTAAAAGACAATGGAACAATATTGTTATAATGTAATATCTACATTAAATGAAATTGACTATTTTTATACTTATGTGTGGAATAATAAACATTATAATAATACATTATATAAATAAAATCATTAACTAAGTAGATCCATTACATCATAAGATACTTTTTCTATTTTTTGATTTGGATCGGAATTCAAATTTGAATTAAATTCTAACTGATTGATAGGAAAATTATTTACATTAGAATTTAGATTTGAATTAAATTCTAACTTATTAGCTATTACATTCCCTTGATTCATAGAATTTGAACTAAATTCTAATTTATTAGCCATTATGTTCCCTTGATTCATAGAATAATTAATACTGTTACGAGGAATGACTGAATTAGGAACATAAGTATTTCCTTTTTGATTTAATTGTGTATTCATTCCTTGCACATTGAAGTATTGATACTGATTCGAATTTGATGATTTCCATGAATAATCAGATTTTGAACTTGACATTGAAAGATTTAGTTGATCTAAATTAGATTTCAATAAAGTATCAGTTAAATCTTTTACTGGAGGTTTTATAGGTTGAACAATTGTTGGTATTAATGGTGTTTGAGATTGTAATCTTTGGTGCATCCCTTGCTGTTGAACTAATCTATAAATAGAAAAATCAATCGTAAAATCATATATTTTTAAAATCTAATACCAGATAAATAACAATTTTTTATAATTACTAACCGAAATTTATCTTCCATCGTCAGTCCATTTTCAATTTGTAAAGATTTCAAACTAGTACTTGTATTTGAAGTAGGAAATATATTTCCGTTATCGTTACTTGAACTAATATTTTTATATAAGGTAGAGGTTTGTGAAAGTTCTTGATCTAACTGTTGAGTCTCACGACGCATGGCATCTAATTGTTTTAAAGCATCTTTGTGTTCTGATGTTACGCGGTTTATCATTTCAGTTACGAGATTCGAAAGAATTTCATATTGTGGTAGACTAAAATTTTGTTCAACGCATAGTGGTAATAAAAATGGTAAGATTTTTGTTGCTAATATTTCTTTACTTGTTCCCAGTTTACTATGATTTAATAACATTCTATAAATACCTAGTAAGGAATGAATTAATCTGTGTTATTTATAATTTATAAACTTTAACTATTTAACTTTTATTATTATAAAATATAATACCTATGATAGCCATAAGAATTGCAGGTTCACCAGAGTGTGGAATCTCTTGTAGAAAAGGTAATACTTGATCAAGGACAAGCCATCGATCAAAATGTGGTAACATTTTTGCAAGACATAATAAACAGTTAACTCTAACTCCAAGACTTTTGCTGCTGTTTCCTTTTCCATATAAACATATTTTTTTCATTCTAGGTAAAATTGCATTTTTAATCACTGGTCCTTCAATCATTGTTATGATATTAGGTAAAGCTGATAAACATAATTCTTGCAACTGTTCCCATTCTGATTCTAAAGCACGTAATAACATTGGAACTATATCTGTTTTTATTACTTCTGTAGTACATAATTTTAATAATAAATCAGCATGCTGCATTAAAACAAGACTAATTTGTGGGGGATCATCTAACGTTAAAACTGATTTAATGTTTGGTAAAATATATTCTCTGAATTCTTCCACAGAACTTGTTTCCATTGCATAGATTATGCTAGGTAAAACAAATGGAATCATTGGAGGATTAAATAATTCTTTATATAAAGCTGGAAGAACTCTGTGCAACACAACTCTGTGTGGCAATTGTTTTAAAAGTTGAGGTAATCCTTTGTAAAACTGTGATTTTTGTAAATTATCCCACTGGAAAATTTTGTCTAAATAATTCAAGGTTTTAACACCTATATCTGTGAAGTAGTCAATCTTTACAAATTGATGAGCATCTGGTCTTAATTCAGGATTATGATGTAACATCAATTTAACTGTATCTCTAAGACTCTCTGAAGTTGGAAGAAACTTATCTGTGATAGTCGAACTTTTAAAATTTTCCAAGAACTGTTTGCATTTTAATAAATCATTGTTAGAGTCATGAATAAGTATATTCTTTGGAGAATGTAAAATGTATATTACCATTCCCAAAGAAAATATATCACTAGATGTATCAACACTGCTTGCCAAAATACATTCTGGTGCTTGATAATCCAAATTTGGTTGAGCTATAGACGGAGCTGATATGTCATATTCTATGTATGACCATTGAGGTTGTTTACCATCAACATTTTGATTTAAAGCGCAAAAATCGAATCCAAAGATCTTCCATGCCCCGTGACTATTAACAACGATAGATTCTGGGCATAGATTTCTGTGTAATAATTTAACATCCCCGTGTAAAAATGCAAGACCTTCACCAAGTTGCAAAAGTCCATATTTAATTTCAACATCGTGTAATTTGTAATCCTTTAATGCTATTGGCAATGGTTGTGGTAAATTATTATGGTTTCCCAAAACATTGGCCAAACTAGCTAATACAGGTTCAGTTGCAAATGCCAAACTGTCTCTAGATTCCTCCAAAGGATGTTGAACAGTTAAAACCTGTGGATGACGTAATTTTGTCAATTGTGCAACACCTTTTTTTAATATTTCTAAAATCAATTCTTTGTCGTTTCTTGAAAATTTATCCAAAATACGTTTCTCGAACACGAATATTGCTGCTTCTTGTTTTGTAGATTTCTTGTAACCATTGTAAATCTTCCATAGTAACGATGGTCCTGCACTCGCTATATGAGCAGTTACTTCAAACTCTCTGGTTACTGGATTACCAGGAAGAACATTTGACAACTGTGACAAGCCATAAGCAGTGTTTTGAACAGTATTAGATATTGTATTGCTAACAGTATTTCGTAATTTTGCAAGTACATCCATTTTATTTTACAATTTATACGTATTATTTTAAGTATCCATTTATTAATTTTTTTTATTTCTTTAATTTTAATAAAATTATTCAAATTATAGAAACTTTATGTCCCTTTGTTTAACATTTGATTTACTTTATCAGTTTTGTTGCTTTTTAGCAATCAATTGTATTATATTTATTTATATATATTGTACAGTACACGGAACGTAATTTTCTGAAATGTTCAACAATATAAAATATTATAATAATTAACATTAGCGCTGTCGTATCAAATGTGATAATTTATAACACAATGACTTAATCTTAAGTATCATATCAGTTGGTTATATTTTGCTGGATACCATTTAATGGTTACCTACCAATTACCAACCTAAACATGTAAATGTTATTACTTCTCGAAAATTTTTTTAATATTTCTACATCTTTGTATTATTTATATTAAATTTTCTCCGTATTGTTGTATTTTTTAATTCACTATACAAAATGAAAAAATAAAATCATCTCTTTAGTTATTTCACTAGACATACGTGCATATTTAGTGATTTATACAATATTATAGATCACTGTTTTTTGTCAATAGAAAATTAAAAATACTTGAATATTTAAATATTTAAAAATTGAAAAATTCTCGTACTTAAACAAGGTTCAATAATAACTTAAATAATAATAATAGATATTAATATTTACAAATCATTAAATTCTACATACATGTACGTGTATGTTTTCAAAAAGTATTCTATTTCAAATATACAATAATGGATAATGAACAAATACGTAATGTGTGTAGTAAATTTTTAAAATAAATATGTGAAATAAAGAATAAATATTTAAAAAATTAAATAAAAGGTAATGTTTTGCTACTTATTAATATTTTTCTTGAATTGTCAATAAATCAATAAGAGTTGATTCCATTGCAATAATTAGATCAGAGAAATAATAATAATTTTACCGTAATAACTATTAATTAGTAATTTCATTGAAAGTAAAATAATCATGCAAGATTTATAAATATAAATATGAAATAAAAAAAAAAAATAATTTAACTGAAAATTAAATATTTTTACAATAATTTAAAATAACTAATTATACTAATTCCTAAAATTGTAAGTAATGTGCTCGAAGAAATTTAGAAATGTTCTAATTCTCATTTATGTGAGGTTTTTAGCAAAAGCATTAAGAAAAATAAAAATATATATTTGTTACTTTTAATTTCTAGTAATATGATCATTTATAGCATAGATAAGACACAGTATATTTTTATTAATGAAAATTAAAACTGCATTATTCGAGAATATATTTATTTGTTAAATTAATAGATAAATAGATCAACTAATAAATGCATATATTTATTATAAATGAAGGCTTTAACAATTCCGAAAATAAAATGTTTTGGAATAAACAGAAAGCTTTTTTTTAAATATAAAGTTAAAACGATAAAATTGTTATTTAAATTTCTGATATTTTACATTGTTACAGAAAAGTATATATTTATAATGTAAGAATGAATTTAAAATTTATGTATAAAAAATATTGAGAATTTAACATATAGTATATTTAAGTGAAAATCTTCATGTTTTACATTAATATTTAAATATTCTAATACATGTATGTTCATTGAAAAATTAGTTGTATTATTTGGGTTTAATTAAAATAATCTTATATTATAATATATAAAGAAATTATTTATATTTTATATAACTTTATTCAATAGATGCTTTTTTATATTGAATTATACAATATATACTATTATACATTTATACAACTTTATCTCAATATATATTCATCTGAACTATATATCAGAAAGTATAAATACAAATAATATTTCTATTTATTATTTATTAATTATTATTGGAGGAAAACATTCAGTAATTAAAGTAGCCAAAAACTTTCTAATATTTGCACTTTTTATATGTACTTTTTACATGTACATGCTGCAAATGCACGATACAAGAAAAAAATAGAAAAAAAGAAGTTAATAGAATAATAAATGAAGACATCTAAGATATATTCTTAACAAAAATAGTTCTCAGAAAATAAAAAAGAAAAGAAAAACAGCATTCTTTTGTGAGAGCACTTCCAATATAATCTCTCCATTGATTAAAGTCGATGTTCTGTCAGAATTTTCTCCCTAAAGGACGACCTTCGTAGTGGGGTGAGCTAGTGAATAAGGGAGAGGAATACTGGCCGTCGACCCCGACGATTTAGTTGCCTTACGAGCCGCATATAAGTCCGTTCGCGTTCTACCCTTACATTCTCTCAATTAAAATTCTTTTCATGTTTCTTTCATTAAATCTACCATACTTCTCTGTGCAACGAAAATGTCAGTGCGAGAAATAGGAAAGGCGAAATACGTAATGAGTGAAATATAAAAACGTTTTTATTGAAGAATATATATACTTGCGAACAGTTCATTGTTTATCTTGGTTTGCAATCTTTCGTGATGCTTATTTTTGTTTCTCACAAGATCCAATATTTCTTAAACATCGATCTTTTACCATGAGATGATTGTTTTATATTTATTGTATATTTCATTTAAATAATGCGATTCTTTTTTCATTGCCTTTTAGAGTTTTGATTCGAATTATAATTTACAAGTGAATTAAATTATAATTTTTATCAATTGAAATTAAATAGTCGCGTAATTTTGTGCGCTTAAAGTCCATTTTGAAATTCTTTTACTTAACTATATATAAACTACAATATAAACTATAGGCATTACATGGTATGAACTATGTAATGACGATTGTTTTCTTATTTTTTTTTTTTTTTATTCTATCGTGATTGTTTTAGTTCAAGGATAAATAAGAAGAATTACAGCGTTGTTAATAGTGTGTAACATTTATAATGGTAACGAAAGACGATATACGGTCGAGCATTTTTTTCTAAATTACGAAAATGAAAAAACCTTGGACAAGTAAAGAGTGAAAGTTTACGGTGCAAGTCCTTCGATATCGATTCCTTCGTAAATTGCAGTGGGTGCATCCACCAACAGCACATTTATGACTTTCCTGCTTTCAGTACGAGAGAAATTATCCTCAGGAAATATGCTTGCATTGAGATAAACAAGGCAATCGTAAGTTTATAAATGTCATTATATACCTTTGAAAGTAATCGATTATAGTATTTATTATTATTTGAAGTTATTTAATATTTATTGAGAATTATTCAATGCCCGATATTTATTCGGGACACAGTGAAATAAGAATATTTTCCAACTTGTAAATTTTGGTGTTGAATTTGTTTATTTAGAAATTGAACACGGATGACGAATTGGATATGAATTTGAAATTGAAATGGCTCTCCCTTGGAATACTAATTATCATCCTCCTTGAATTCGGTAAATCTTTTTTTACGTTTAAAAAAAAAAAAAAAAAGCACGTGTATTAAAATAAAAAAACATCGTCTACCGTTCAATTGCAATTGAAGTAAACGTATATGTTGTAAAAAAAAAACGACTAATTAAGTAAAAAAAAAAAAAAAATTTAGATATTACTAGATCGATGACAGAAGGAAAGGATGAGTTTACTTTATTGAAAATTGATTCTCCTTCCTCTCACGTCGCCCTTTCGGGAGACCTTACAATATCTGTTGCAAAGGCCAATGAAACTTTAGAAAAAACAAAGTACAAATATGAATTCATAGACGAGGGAAACAGAGATGCTAAATTGCCTGGAAATATTTCAAATCAATTCTTTCTGCTGAGGTAAGCTGGTTCCGTGCCTTTATAGATAGACGAGCTATTGAAAATACGAATTTGCAAACTTTAAGGAAACTTTGTATCGTTTTCAGAGTACTGTACCTTCTTGAAGACATATCAGAATTGATCGGTGAGATTCAACTAAAACAATTGCCTTTGGGAAATGAAACTATTTCAATTATTATTCCCTGCGGGTATTTCACCCGTGGCGGTGTTTACGCTCTACGAATAGAATATAAATACGAAAATTCATCAGTGCCTGTTGCCGCTTTCCATCAGGTTGTTGTAAGAAAGATATTAGTCATTGAAGAGACCACAAACGAAATTTCCCGCATATAAATGAGAAACAATAACAATAGTTCGTAGTACATTCGCATCAAAATATTAATGATATACATGTTCATTTTTATAGACAAATAAAATATTAGATGTAAAGTGGCCACTACCAACGATATTCTTGGAATCTCAACAAATTACTACCTATCCGGACAAACCTGTCAAAGTCACAATAAGATACAATGAAGTGAATTGCAGTCCATCTGATAATGTTCCTGTAGCTGTTTATATTTTCCAATTGATATACTGTGGATCTAGCGTAACTGCCTGTTATTTGCAGAATAATACTTATATCCAAGTAAATGCGTTAGAGATTATCATATAGCATCATTACTGAAACAGTTATTATTGTTATTTATAAATATTGTACTACATTTTCAGATATTATATTACGAAGAAATAAGAGATTTTTTACCAACAAAGACTATATTTTTCCGATGCGAATTGTTTGGATTACCCGGTAATTATGCTGTGAGGTTAAGATCTTCGAATACTAATCCTACAGCACCAAATACCAGCGTGTATTTTAAGGTAATCAGTGTTCATTTCTTTTTAAGTTAATAAACTATCGTTTATCATCAACAATCATCGTCAATTGTACTGAATCATTTATACGAGGAATAACAGATAATTCTTCTCGCGTTTTAAATAATTAAATAATTAAATCAGTAAATAAAATATTGGAGACGATAACATATAAAAATATTTGCTTATAAATTTCTGTTTATTTTACGTTTGAATTACAGGTGAATTGGTCTGAAAAATTTAAACTTACGGTTCATGCAAGATCGATATATCCTTGCGAAGGGTCAGGAGGTGTCGCCGTCCTTTTCGAGTATCCTTCGTGTCGATTAGAAGGTGATCGTGTTCGTGTTTATGGTCGTTTGAAAGCTGACGTTACTTCCGTTGCTTCACCTTCCAGTCTTCATTACATTACAGAATCTAAATCAATACATGGCAAGCATTCCTTGGCTTTCGATTGCGATATTTTTACAGAAAAGTTTGTCGAATATTGTTTCATCTATGTCAGTCAGGCGATCACAGGTGCTATGGGGGATGTTAAGATATCCTGCATACCCACATTTCCTTCCCAAGGCAGGTTTAAAC